TTCCCATCGCTGCAGCGTCAGGCCCATTTTGGTCGTGGTGTGGCCACGTGACGCGGTTCGTTCCTTTCCCTTGGGCCCAGCTTCCAGAGCTAAGATTTTATTTTAAACTTGGTCAGAAGAGTTTGGTTTTAATTATCTGCCTTCCTGAACTCCTGATAACTTCACGTTAAAAGCTTTCGTGGGGGTTTCCTAGCCAGTCTCTGGTGTTCGGAGAACTCTCCACATTTCACAAATCAAAGCCAGCCCTGTTCCCGTCCCTTCCCAGGGTTTCCATCTGAATTCATGGTGCTCTTCGCTCTGTTCTTTTATTAGAAACAGGCCCCGACCAATGAGACTGTTATGGGAGAATTCAGGAGGTATGAAAGGAAGGAGCCTGCTTCTTGGTTTTGGAGCATTTTTTAAATTATGGTGCATCTGGCTCGTCTTTCTTTTTACTTTCTGTTTTCTGTGTTCGCTTTGGTTTCTAAAGTCTCTGCTGCTTCAGGCCCCATTCACAATGTCTATGGCCCCCAGTTGGGCCATAAAAGCTGTGAAAGTGATTCCTTCTCTGAGCCGTTTGCCTGTGGCTCAGACACGCCAGAGAGCCCAGCCTCAGTGGCCATCAGGCGTTTGTTTTCAGTGGCAGCAGAGCAGCAGTCTTCAAGCAGAAGGTCCTCCTGAGACGTCCTGACTAGAGCACGTGCCACGGGACGTTGGTCTTAACCTGTAGGCTGCGTAGAAGGCTCGGGCCTCTCCTAAAATAAACAGCGTCACCATGGGCAGGTGCGCCGTTCAGCCCAGCTCAAGAGTGGAGTGAGAGCCGCTGCCCCACGTCCACGGGGGGAGCTTGCAGGGAGGGATGGGCCGTTCCCAGAACACAGGCGAGGGGAACCCCCGCTCCTGGCCTCCGAAGGGCGCAGATTGGCTGGGGCCCCAGGCCCTGTGTTCTGGGGCTTCTCCTCTGTCGCTGCCCATGGGGCCGACTCTCAGGCTCTGCTCTGGAGGGTCTTCGATGTCCTTCCCCAGCCTCTGACGCTGTCCTTTACTGTCCCCCGCCCCGGTGAGACCACGTAGGCAAGCCCGCACTGCCCTGCCCCCTGCTCTCCAGACCCACTCCGTGCTTTCCCTGCAGGGACAGAGTCACCTCTTTAGACTGAGACACTGTGTCCGGGTGACGGTGCACTGTGCTCAGTTTGAGTGACAGGAGGAGGAAGAGGGAAAATGGAAGTTAAGTCTCCACCAGTTCGGCCGCTCTGCTCCTTTTACCCAAGAAACCCAAACTTTCTCTCCCTAAGTCTAACCAGTGTTTGTCTGTCAAACACCAGATTATCTAGGATATCAAGAAACCAAGCAAACCAATAGTTTCTGGAAGTATGATCTAAATACCAAAGCCATTTTATCAGAAGCTGGGGGTTGAGTCCCAGGTCCCGTACACTTTTAACCCACTTGCCCTCTGGCCTCTAAGAACTATCTTCTCGGGCTAATTTCTGTTACGATGAGAGCACCATCTCCTCCAGAAATCCCAGGTGTCTTCCGTCTTTGAAATGATATTGTTCTCGCTTTATGGCAAACAGTGCTATGCCTCTGCAGCCTGCAGTGCTACGACCGTGCTGCCTCTGCAGCCTGCAGTGCTACGACCGTGCTGCCTCTGCAGCCTGCAGTGCTACGACCGTGCTGCCTCTGCAGCCTGCAGTGCTTCTTCTCTGAGACTCTCACCCTTCTCCAAGGAGTTAGGTCACCTTCTTGGGACGTGGCTAAGGCGAGTCCTTGAAGGCAATGATAAAAAGCCCGAGGGTTCCAGAGGGCTCCAGGAGTTGGAGGGGGGTGCGGGGGGGAGTGCTAGAAGGATGGGGGGGTGGGCTTAGAGGGAGCCCTGTTTTCTCTGACACCTGGATCAGGTGACAGTCTGCTCGTTACCACACCTGATGAAAGTTCATCCCAAAGAACTTGATAACATGCATCTTACATGCCTGAAAAGTACAACAAACAACACACTGTGCTATTTGCTTTCAGTTACCCCTGGCAGGTAGAAATAGGAGTGGCACTCCTGGGCAGCCCCCGTAGGACACACCGCCCTCCAGGCTGGCCTCTGGGGAGGGCTTGCCTGGGACTGCCAGGACCCCGTGGGCTTTTTCTGATTGCTGCATGGCAGTGCTAACCTATTTTCTGTGTCTTTTAAGTTTTTGCCTGTTTGTATCTTGCATCAGCCTCCTCAGTGGAGGCCACTCAGTGTCGCTGCACGCGATGCTGCCCTGTGTCTGAGAACTTCTGCTGGTGCGATGACAGGGCACCAGCAGCTCCGCAGTATTTCCAGGCCATCCCGAGTGGGCAAGGTTAGTTACCTGGTGCTCTGATAGGAGTCGGTCAGTGGAGATGAGTAGTGTGCTTTGATACTACGAAATGGCTCAGACTGAGGCCTGGGAGAAGCCAAATGTCCCTGCCTTAATGAAAGGAAGAACTTTCTTCACTTAGAGAGGCAGCTGCCAGCGTCGGCACAGCAGACTGAAAGCTGGAGATGTCGTAAAATCTCACCCCACAAATCACGTTCTTACAGAGAGGATGTTACAGTACCCTCAAGTGAGATCCCACAGTCTAGGCACCACCGAGTCGGTAAACAGACGCGTCTGTCGGTCACGTCGTCAGGCCCCTGTCTGCACTCTGGGCACAGGTGTGCTTGGGTTTCTGTGGGAGAAGACGACCAAGGCGTGGGGCAAGCTGGCGAGGTTGTAAAGGGGTCGTTCTCCGTGCCTGAGGGAGGGCGTGGGAGGCTCACAGAGGCTCTCCCATGGGGGCGATGGAGCGTGAGAAAGGCCGTTCTGCCCAGAAGCCATGAGAGAGTGGACGGTCGGCGCCTGTGAGCTCAGTCCCCACCCCTGCCCCACCCCGGTCTCCCAGGTCCTGAGTTAACTTGCTGCTCTAACCAGCAGCAGCCAGTGTGGTGAGTTTACAGCTGCGAAGTGAGGCGGAGCTGGCAGGGCATTGAGGCGTCGCGGGTCTAGATGTCAGAACAGAGACTGGTTCCCAGGCCCAGCCGATGCTGAGGCCGGCAGGCCCCTTCCTGAAGGCTGAACTGTTGGCTGGGTGTTTGGTGAGCAGTGCAGGCCCTGAGGGCGTCACTGGGAGTGAGCCGGTGGCCAGGCCGCAGGGAGAGGGTGCGGGGAGACCTTGGATGTGTGTGTGCGCGCGTTTCCCGAGCATCATCTTCTCGTCCATTTCTGTTGGGAAGGGCCCCCCGGACTCGGCACTGTTCTCTGTTGCCCCTCCTCCCCGTCTGCCCCGCGCTGCTCAGACGGGCCCATCTGCGCTGCTCTCACACAGCTTCTCTGCTGCCCCTCCTCAGGGCCTCCCCTACAGGCCCTGCTCTCCACGGTCCTTCAGTTCGGTAGGGCCCCTGGCGTTGCCTGGGACAGAGTTCGGCCTCAGTTACTCACGGGTCTGGGGCGTGTCCCATTGGGCAGTCCCCCTGGGCTGTGAATGCCCCCCGCGCCCCGCCGGGGCACCACCAAGGCCAGCTCTCAGCACAGAGCTGGCAGGCGGGCATGGCCACCGGGCGAAACCTCAGCGCCACTGAGCACACTGGAAGCGTTTTTATATATTAAGTAATTCTTGAGACGTGGCTAAAATTTAGTTTCTTTTCTGACAAAAGTCTTCAAGTCAGAGAAGAACAACCCTTAGTTAATGTTGGTAAAAGCAGTGATTGACGGGATATTATAAATGTGAGACAGGAGAATTCCTGAAACCCAGACTCACACGTTTTAGGGTGCCCGATTCCAGTGTAGGAGAACGTTACAGACACAGTGCACGGGTCTCTTACCGATTCCTCCGCCTCAGATGGGACACGTCTTCACATTAAAAAGCCCATGGTTAGTGGTGCTTAACCTGGGCTGCGTGGTGGGTCACCTGGGGGACTTTTTACAATTCATGGAAGTAGGCCCAGCTCTAGGCCTGTGGAGAGAGAACTTCCCAGACTGAGGTTAGGCTGAGGACGTTTTGGAAAAGCCCATGAGAGGATTGATGAATGGAAGCCCCGGGTTCAAGACAGAAGTCCACGGGGAAAAGCCACCTTGCAGCGAGGTCGCCTGGTCGGTCCCTCCAGCCAGCAGTGCTGGCGCTCTGCCCCCCCCTGGGCGGCTTCAGGGCGCAGTATGTGGGGCTGTCACGTGGTGTGACCTTCAACAGAGCAGTGTCCCCAGGCGATGGCCAGAGGAGCAGGGGTTCGCCGCTCCTGTTAGGTAATCGGGCCTGGTTTCTCGTCTTCCTTCTTTTGTCTGCCCTTGAGGATTTTGTTATTCTTTAACACCTCAGAGGAGGAAAGAAAATACATTTAAATCAATTGAGGGTTTTTTTTGGCCTCAGTTCTTTTTATAAAAAAGTGGAGATAGAGGGTAAAGGTCATCTGTGATTAAAAAGAAACGTAAAACAGGCATAATCATTGTTGTTTGCAGCGACCATAGGTAACCGAGCTCAGAGGTCAAATCTGTAAACTCCTTTCTTCTGAGGCCTCAGTACTTGGTTACTCGTTCGTTGCTTTACCACCACCCCCGGGACGGGAGTGGGCCTTTCCCCCGCTCTCCTCTCCCTTCACTAGGGATATGGGAGGAAGTGGGGACCGTTCTGGACCTTCACAGCCATGGATACCGTGTTCACACGGGCAGGGCCGAGGGTGTGAGTGGAGGGAGGTGGGTAGAATGGACGCTGAGATCCAGAGAGGCAGCCTGTCATGCAGGCCCGGGCAGTCCTGGGACACAGGACGGCTTGGTAGGTGGCAGGGCGGGTGATCATTTCACACGTTGCTGGACTCCAGTTTAATGAGATGTGCTCCCAAAGCCTCAAGTCTCGCAAGTTGTGGGCACAGGCGTGGGCGCTTAGCCGAGGAGCCTGTCCTCACACTGTGAGGCTGCACCCCTGCCTTCAGCCGTGAAGCTGAGACATCTGATTTGAAGAGTACATTTGTAAACGGAAATAATAAATGTCAGTCCCTTGCTAATGCTGATTTTTCTGTTTGTCTCTTGTTTCTCCAGCATGAACGACTTTCTAGGTAAGACCTTGCCTGCCTCACACTCGTGAGTAGACGCATGCGTGGTTGCACGCGGTTTTGCCTAGTCTAACAGCCTCTCTCCATCCTCCCGTCTCGTTTCCACAGCCCCACAGTCACAAGTGGCTCCCTTCGGCCCCCGCACGGGCCCCTCTGTCCAGTCACGCTGCATCCCACCTCCATGTTGGTTCCCCGAGCACCGTGCCCGCTCCCCCCAGCCAGGGCTAGGGAGACATTAGTGTCCTCACCTTCATGTACCGTACAGATGACTGGACAGGCAGTCTCAGGGGCGGGATGGAAGTACAGAAGGGCACTCAGGGCACAGGAGAGGCCAGCCTGACTGGCTGGTTCAGGGAACCTGACACTGTTCCCTGTACCCACATGGGGCCCAGGAATAGTTTATCCAGTGAACCAAAGACCTGTTTTGCAATTGCTAAAAAGTTAAGCATATCAGAGTTTGGGGAATGATCCTCTGTAATTTTTCACCTAGTACCTAAGGGTACAAAATTGATCTTCCTGAAGAATAAAATAAAATAATAGAGACTGGGACTTCCGTGGTGGCGCAGTGGTTAAGAATCCGCCTGCCAATGCAGGGGGCACAGGTTCAAGCCCTGGTCTGGGAAGATCCCACATGCCACGGAGCAGCTAAGCCCCTGCGCCACAACTACTGAGCCTGCGCTCTAGAGCCCATGCGCCGCAGCTACTGAGCCTGTGCTCTAGAACCTGTGAGCCACAGCTACTGAGCCTGCGTGCCTAGAGCCCATGCTCCACAACAAGAGAAGCCACTGCAATGAGAAGCCTATGCGCTGCAGTGAAGAGTAGCCTCTGCTTGCTGCAACTAGAGAAAAGCTTGCGTTATTTTATTATTATAAAATAATAGAGAACGTGGAGCCAGAGTTTGAACCTCCCATTTTCCACTGTTCCTCTGATGACGAAATTAAGAAGAGATTGGGAAGGTGTAGTTACAGGACACCATAGGGCAAATGAGGTTCATAATTCGTTTAATAATTGAGCTGGTGGTTCTACCTTATTCATATATTTTAAAATTTACACACTTGTGTGTGCTCGTCCTTTGCTTGCCCTCTCACCAAGCACCAGCTTAGGAGAAATATAATTTCCACCTAACCCAGCAGAAAATTCGCTTTGCAAAGCTGGTGGAGAGTGGCGTTTTGCTACAGTTAATTTCTTGTGAACTCTGTTACATTATAATGGCCATTTGTGAAAACAAATTTCCCTGCAGACTTCAAAATATGCTACAAAACTGTAGCCGTTAAAACAGTGAGATTCTAGAACAGTCGACCGCCCCCAAAAGTCATGCATGACTTTCCAACTCAGTGGGGAAAGAATCATTCTAGTTACGTAAAATTTAAAATCTCTGCTGTTAAAAGAGACAAAAAGTAAAGTGGGGAAAAACATTTTTTGCAACCTATGTTAGATAGTTTTAAAAGCCCCAGTATATGTAGGATGCTCCTGCACTATAATGAGGCAAAGATGAACAAAGGCTATGAATAGGCCCTTCAAAAACTAAGATAAGTAATCAAAGATATTGAACCTCCATAATGATTTTAAAGCATTAAAATTAACAACAATAAGATATTCCTCCTATTGGATTGAAAAGTTTTAAACCTCTCTAGAGGGCAGTATGGTAACATATATATCTGCATTTAAAATATTATTTATTTATCTCTTGACCAAACAGTTCCACTGCTAAGATTTTATCCTAAAAAAATAACAAATACACTAAGATTTACAGACAAGTCTCACTGTAGCATTATTTACAGTAGCTAAAAAATTTAAAACAATATGTGTCTATCAATAGAGGATTAAACTGTCGTACGGCCATACAGTGGAAGGCTACGCAGTCATTTTTTTTTTTAATGAGGCAAATGTGTTTTTACTTACATGGTGAGATGCCTGCAGTCGTGAGTGCGTAGGTGTAGGGGAGCGACCACAGAAGGTATTCTCTGGTTTTATTTACAGAAATATTTATTTTGACATCCCTGTTTAACATCCTGCAAGGATATGAGCTGAACTGTTGGTAGAGATTGTTCCTTGGGCAGGACTGTGGGGCGACTTTCACTTTCTATTTTAGACACTTTAGTTCCAATGCTTAAACTGTTCAACATGCATGTATTGCTTTTGCAATCAGGAAAGTCAGTAAAAAGATTTCTATTTACAAAAGATTTTTTTAACTATAAGAAGGAAAAGAATGTAGTAGAAAATGTTGTAGGACTGAGCACCTCTGTGAGGAAAAGGCAGCCCTTGGTGTCATCGGCAGCTTTGCTCCCCACCCCTGCTCGGCCTCTTCTGGCACCTAGTCCACCCCTCCCACACCCCCGCGTGGCCCCCGCAGGACAGGAACGCGGGCGGAAGCTCCACAGCTGGGACTCTTCACACCGCCCCAGTGTGAAGAGTAGAGCCCTAGAGGGCTGGTTTGCGCGTGGCCCTTCCGTGGGCCGCCTCTTAGCTTGGAAAGAGCAAGGTGCCAAAAAAATAGGAACCAGTGTGAAGGATCAGGGTGCGAGTCGTCCGTCCACCTAAGCAGGTCAGCTGAGAGGCCCTTCCACTCATGGACCAGTCAGTACTGGGACGAAGCCACCGTCCGCCCCAAAAGTGCAGTTGCTACGAGACATGAAGTCCTGTCACAGGTGTGGCGTCCAGAGGAGAGGGTGCAACGCGAGCTGTCCCGGCACCGGGTGGCGCCCCCGACACCTCTGGGGGTCCAGCCGGCCTGCTGAGCCCAGGTTGCCAGCCTCACCCACCCCCACTTGCAGCTCCAGGCCCGTGTGTTTCTGGCTCATTGGCACTTCATTGGAATCATTTTCTAAGAGCCACTGAGATCCCAGAAACTTCTGCGTTTAAAAGCATGCTCTTGAGGGAAGCGGTTTGGCCCTAAGCTAATTTGAGAAGCTCTGCACTTGCCGTCGGCACACAGCCACACCACCGGCCTCCCGAGTCAGCTCCATCCTGGGTGGGTGCTGGCCTCCTCCCCCGAGCAGTGCCCTCGGCAGGCAGGGAGGCCTGGGCCTGTTCTGGCCAGAGCGCTCAAGCGCATCTTAGGAAAGGCGCCCACTGCCCTTAAGCATCTCCTCCCTCCACCTTTTCGTTCTCGGAAGCCACTGGTACCTTTACTGTGTCTCCCACAGGTTGGAATTGGGAGGCAGTGACGCCAGCAGCGAGCGGGCCTCGGCCAGAGCCCGCCGGGAGGCCCGCGAGGCCCGCCTGGCCACCCTGAGCAGCCGCGCGGGGGAAGACAGCAGCAGGGACTACAGAAAGGTGGGGGCTCCTGGGTCCCCGCGCAGGGGTCCCCTCCACTCGACCCTCCTGCCTCTTTCTTGCTGAGAGGCGGGAGGGAAGGTGCTCCAGCGACAGATGCTAATGGACAGCACGTTTACCCGCCTCTCAACCAGCTGAATGAAGACCCCTTCACGTATTGCTTTCAGTGCAGTAAAAATGCACCTAAATCAGATATTTAGAGGTGTAGGAAAAAGTAAGGGTTAAGAATTGTGGAAAGGGAAATAAGAGTAATGCTGGTTGCCTGGGCCCGGAGAATCACTTGATGGACTCTGATATTTTTAACAAACACGTGCTTTTAATGAGGTCCTGTGAACCAACCAGATACTTCTCGGCAACGGTAAATAATAACAGTCTGGTTTGGGGGGTTTCCCCAATCATTCTATGGTTCGTTTCCTTTGGTCCTTGAGGGAGAGAACCCAGCTCCAGGGGCCGGCTCAAAAACCTTCCCTTTCAAGTGCTTGAGATGCCAGGAGAAAACTTTTTTGTTAAGAACATGTTTGTTTTGTTGAACAGAACTTGGCTGAGATGGATACACAGGAGGGCGGCTCCAAAAGGAAGCCTCTTTTGTGTGGGAGCCACGTCTTTAAGCCATGCGAATGCCCTCCCTGCTGGAGGTGGTGGACGGCCTTCCCTACCCCCCACCCCACCTCCTGGGCACTAGCAGTATTGACAGTGGAGCATCATTTGTGTTCAGCACCTAGGACCTCAGGGTTCCAGCAGCAGGAGAGCCAGCGCCCTTGGCTGAATGCCCTCTGTCCCTGGGCCCTTCTGCCTTCCTGCTCCGCTCACAGGGTGGGCACCTGACGCCCTCTTCTCGCCCCCCAGCTCTACGAGAGCGCCCTGACCGAAAACCAGAAGCTGAAGACAAAACTTCAGGAGGCCCAGCTGGAGCTGGCGGACGTGAAATCCAAGCTTGAGAAGATGGCCCAGGTGAGGAGGGGGAGGGGGCAGGGGCCAGGTAGTCAGGTCAGCCCTCCCAGAGATTTGGTTTGGGGTCCAAACCACGTTGAACTTAAAGTTGGAAACTGATGGTCCAGTGGACCATTCCTGGCCCCCGAGTGCTAGTAATTCCTCTTACGGGTCATCTGCTCATTTCTTAGCGGAGAGCGTGGGCCAGCGTCAGGGCTTGGTCGTGGGCAGTGTGTGCCTCCTGCCTTGTCGGTCGTGGTTTGGTCACAGCAAACCCAGGACGAAGGTGTCATTGGGACGTTGGGTTCTGTCCTGCAGCACCTGTGCCGGAACAAGGAGCCAGATAAAGCTCTTCCTCTCGCTGCCGGGTCTGGTTTAATTAGTGACACATAGCGGGGTGGTGCACTCATCACCAGGGAGACAGACCCTCACGGAACGCTGGCGCGAGCCCTGTCTTGGGTCATTGTTGGGTCAGCA